TACATGCACGAAATTTGGTGGGGACATGTATCATATCAAGACGCACAAAAAAAGCCTCAAGAACCCATACCCTAAACTCGACAGGAGGTCCGCCATTTTGAATTTGGCGACCAATTTGGGACGATTTACACACTCCGTACTTTAACGAACTCCTCCTAGGGATTTAGTCGGATCAACTTCAAATTTCTGCTGTGCCTTCTAAAGGCATTGACGATGTAAAGTTGTGCTATCTGCGTGTTTTCGTCGATGGGCGTGTCCGTGGCGTCGATGATTCGCCATGAAACAGGAAGTTGTAGTAACTTGGCTATAAATGCCCAGATCTGCACGAAATTTTACACATTTGACAAGAGTCCTGCCCTGAACAAATCTACATGCCGACATTCACCCACAGTCATAGCGCCACCTAGTGGCAACAGGAAGTGTCCTTTAACAAAGCAGCGAAAAATTTCACAGCTGCACCGGCTGAGCCGCAGAATATGCAACGCGGCCGCCTCACACCCCGACGCGCTACAGGTGCGAGAGCCCGCCCATCGCTGCTTGCAGCTTTAATTTTTTTTTTTTTTCTGCAAAGTAAGTGCCATTTTCGGGGCCGCAACATGCTCAAAAACTCACCAAATTTGGCACGCATGTCAGGACTGGTGAAAAATTTCGTATTTTGTGGGTTTCACGGATGGGCGGGGCAAAATGGCACGCTAGCGCCACCTAGAAAATTGGAAAAAATTAGCCCCTCGTCCACGTTCAACCTACATGCACGAAATTTGGTGGGGACATGTATCATATCAAGACGCACAAAAAAGCCTCAAGAACCCATACCCTAAACTCGACAGGAGGTCCGCCATTTTGAATTTGGCGACCAATTTGGGACGATTTACACACTCCGTACTTTAACGAACTCCTCCTAGGGATTTAGTCGGATCAACTTCAAATTTCTGCTGTGCCTTCTAAAGGCATTGACGATGTAAAGTTGTGCTATCTGCGTGTTTTCGTCGATGGGCGTGTCCGTGGCGTCGATGATTCGCCATGAAACAGGAAGTTGTAGTAACTTGGCTATAAATGCCCAGATCTGCACGAAATTTTACACATTTGACAAGAGTCTTGCCCTGAACAAATCTACATGCCGACATTCACCCACAGTCATAGCGCCACCTAGTGGCAACAGGAAGTGTCCTTTAACAAAGCAGCGAAAAATTTCACAGCTGCACCGGCTGAGCCGCAGAATATGCAACGCGGCCGCCTCACACCCCGACGCGCTACAGGTGCGAGAGCCCGCCCATCGCTGCTTGCAGCTTTAATTTTTTTTTTTTTTTTCTGCAAAGTAAGTGCCATTTTCGGGGCCGCAACATGCTCAAAAACTCACCAAATTTGGCACGCATGTCAGGACTGGTGAAAAATTTCGTATTTTGTGGGTTTCACGGATGGGCGGGGCAAAATGGCACGCTAGCGCCACCTAGAAAATTGGAAAAAATTAGCCCCTCGTCCACGTTCAACCTACATGCACGAAATTTGGTGGGGACATGTATCATATCAAGACGCACAAAAAAGCCTCAAGAACCCATACCCTAAACTCGACAGGAGGTCCGCCATTTTGAATTTGGCGACCAATTTGGGACGATTTACACACTCCGTACTTTAACGAACTCCTCCTAGGGATTTAGTCGGATCAACTTCAAATTTCTGCTGTGCCTTCTAAAGGCATTGACGATGTAAAGTTGTGCTATCTGCACGTTTTCATCGATGGGCGTGTCCGTGGCGTCGAAGATTCACCATGAAACAGGAAGTTGTAGTAACTTGTCTGTAAATGCCCAGATCTGCACGAAATTTTACACATTTGACAAGAGTCCCGCCCTGAACAAATCTAAATGCCGACATTCACCCACAGTCATAGCGCCACCTGCTGGCAACAGGAAGTGACCTTTAACGAAGCAGCCCCCGCCACTTAATAAGTTGTATTTTTTAGTTAACTTGAGTTTTAGTGCATTTTTACAGTAAATTACTGGCAACAGTGTTGTAAAAATGCACTAAAACTAATAAGTTGTATTTTTTAGTTAACTTGAATTTTATTCACCCACAGTCATAGCGCCACCTGCTGGCAACAGGAAGTGACCTTTAACGAAGCAGCCCCCGCCGCTTGTTTGACCGACATGTACGAAATTTCTGTGGTACATCTACCATGACCAGACGTACAAAAAAGCCTCAAGAACCCATACCCTAAACTTGACAGGAAGTCCGCCATTTTGAATTTGGCGACCGATTTGGGACGATTTACACACTCCGTACTTTAACGAACTCTTCCTAGGGATTTAGTCGGATCGACTTCAAATTTCTGCTGTACCTTCTAAAGGCATTGACGATGTAAAGTTGTGCTCTCTGCGCGTTTTCATCGATGGGCATGTCCGTGGCGTCGATGATTCGCCATGAAACAGGAAGTTGTAGTAACTTGGCTGTAAATGCCCAGATCCAGCACGAAATTTTACACATTTGACAAGAGTCCTGCCCTGAACAAATCTACATGCCGACATTCACCCACAGTCATAGCACCAACTGCTGGCAACAGGAAGTGACTTTTAACGAAGCAGCAAAGCAAATTCACAGCCACACCGGCTGAACCGTAGAATATGCAACGCGGTCGCCTCACACCCCGACGTGCTACAGGTGCGAGGGCCCGCCCATCGCTGCTTGCAGCTTTAATTTTAATTTTTTTTTTTTTTTTTAGGGCCCGAGCACTAACAGTGCGAGGACCCTCTTGAAACTGTTAGGGTTGTTTTTTTTATTTTTATTTTTTAGGGCCCGAGCACTAACAGTGCGAGGACCCTATTGAAACTGTTAGGGTTATTTTTTTTTTTCTGCAAAGTAAGCGCCATTTTCGCGGCCGCAACATGCTCAAAAACTCACCAAATTTGGCACGCATGTCAGGACTGGTAAAAAATTTCGTATTTTGTGGGTTTCGCGGATGGGCGTGGCAAAATGGCTCCCTAGCGCTACCTAGAAAATTACAAAAAATTAGCCCCTCGTCCACGTTCAACCTACAAGCACGAAATTTGGTGGGGACGTGTATCATGTCAATACGCACAAAAAAGCCTCAAGAACCCATACCCTAAACTCAACAGGAAGTCGGCCATTTTGAATTTGCCGCCCATTTTGGGATGATTTACACACTCCGTACTTTAACGAACTCCTCCTAGGGATTTAGTCAGATCGACTTCAAATTTCTGCTGTTCCTTCTAAAGGCATTGACGATGTAAAGTTGTGCTATCTGCGCGTATTCGTCGATGGGCGTGTCCGTGGCGTCGATGATTTGCCATGAAACAGGAAGTTGTAGTAACTTGGCTGTAAATGCCCAGATCTGCATGAAATTTGACACATTTGACAAGAGTCCCGCCCTGAACAAATCTACATGCCTACATTCACCCACAGTCATAGCGCCACCTGCTGGCAACAGGAAGTGACCTTTAAAGAAGCAGCCCCGGCCGCATGTTTGACCAGCATGTACAAAATTTCTGTGATACATCTACCATGTCCAGACGGACAGAAAAGTGTCTTGGAGCGATGCCTTAAACTCAACAGGAAGTCGCCCATTTCTAATTTAACCGCCATTTTTGGATGATTTACTCATTACATACTTTAACTAACTCCTCCTAGGGATTGAGTCGGATCGCCTTAAAATTTCTGCTGTGCCTTTTAAAGGCATTGACGATGTAAAGTTGTGCTATATGCGCGTTTTCGTCCATGGGTGTGTCCGTGGCGTCGATGATTCGCCATGAAACAGGAAGTTGTTGTAACTTCAGTGTACATCCTCAGACTTGCGCGAAATTTTATATGTTATACAACATTCCCGCCCTGAACACACGTACATGCCGAAATTAGCCCACAGTCATAGCACCACCTGCTGGCAACAGGAAGTGACCTTTAACGAAGCAGCCCCGGCCGCATGTACACAGCTGAGCTCCAGAATATGCAACGCGGCTGCCTCACACCCCAACACGCTACAGGTGCGAGGGCCCGCCCATCGCTGCTTGCAGCTTTAATTACCAGTTTGACTTTTTTCTGTCATGCATCTACAGTCTTATTTAGATTTACAGAAGTTTGAAGCACTTGAAGCATTTGAAGCACATTTGTTGTGGCAAGAGAAACTGTGGCTTGGGCTGTGTTTACTGAAAGCGTCGTAAGCCCATTTGATTTATTCCAGTTATTTATTTATGACAATTTTGTTGTTCTATGGTCAAGTTAAGCTTAAGATTTTTATGTAAACCGTGCCCAGGTGATGATGGTTATGTGTTGATGATGAAATTACAAGACTGCGGTGTCCTGATTCACTGATCTCACTCAGCATTATCTCCTTAAAGCAGCAACTGTATGTTCACTTTTTACAGAGCTGTACTGTTACTGTACTGTGCTACTGTTTAGCTGTATGGATTCATGTCTGTAGCTTTAGAGGTGAAACGATTCACTCGTTTTCTAAAGGATCACGAATACTAAAAACTCGCAGTGACAGTTTTCTGAGGAGCTCGTGTCTGATCTCTTCTCAGTACAAACACTGACTGTCACTGAGCGAATGACAGATCTCTGTCTCTTTCAATAGTGCTAGTCTATAGTCAGACACGATCAAACCACTGATACAGTATTGATGAGGACACTACTGAAATAAAACACAAGCTCAGAAACTTCATTATTTTCATATAAAATGCTGAGGAACCTAAATGTCAGATTGTTACTTGAATATTACTTTTTGACTCAGGATTCACGCTGAACCTGGAAATGTTAGGGCATTTTGAAATGGTAATTTCTAGACCAAGAAAATAGAAGTAAATAATTCTTTAAAAAATATGTGCATGATTGTACTGGTATGTATATCAAACGTGTTTCATTTACATCTTTGTCTCTTTCTTGTCTAAGATGCATTGATATTTAAATAATCCTATAAATGCCTTTTTTAAATTGTGCAAAAAACAAACAAACCTTCATTTCTTAATATATTTTCATAACAGCTAATCTCTCTACAGACCCCTGCTACACCTACACTGTGTTGGACAATCCATGGAGATCCATCAATAATACATTTGACTCCTCCTACAAGTGTGACCAGTCTGTCTCCTGGAGCGGCTGGTATCGTCTCTTCATTAACAGTATTAGCGCTCATATCCCAGACACGTGTGTTGCTAAGAACAGCTGTGGCACTCATGCCCCACTGTGGATACGTGGTGGACACCCAACAGTAAGAGATGGAGTCGTCACTCGAGATGTCTGCGGTCACTGGAACAATGACTGCTGCAATTTCGGGTCTTCTCCCATCAAAGTCAAAGCCTGCCTAGGCAATTATTATGTCTATGAGCTGGTCAGACCAACTGCCTGCCATCTTGCATACTGTGCAGGTAATTATATTCACATGAGCTCTTTCTACACATTGTGGTACTCTGTACTAGGGCTGCACGATTAATCTTACGATATTGTTATGCGCATCTAATTAGTAAAGCTGGTTCCTTGATTAGTAGTAAATCACCTTCACCTGCTTTCAGATGGAGCTGCATTTACTACAAAGAGCCGTAGATCACAGACAAGCTGAGCCATATCGCGTTAATATCGAGGACGTATCGATAGCGATATTTTAACACTCATATCTGCATCACATCGTCCATCTGAAAGCAGGTGAAGGTGATTTACTACTAATCAAGGAACCGGCTTTACTGACGAGATGCGCATAACAATATCGTGCGATATATCGCCCAGCCCTAACTAAGGCCTCGTTTAAACTGCGTGGTTCAAGTGGCCCAAATCCGATTTTTTCCTCTCATGTGGCACAGATCCTATATGACTGGTCAACGTGTAAGCAAGAAAAAAACGCATGGATTCCGATTTTCTCAGATCGGATTCAGGCCTCACTCATATGTGGTAATAAATATATGAATTGGATACGTGCATTTGCGTGTGCCATGTAAGCAGACAAATCAGATATTCCCCAGTAAATGCGAGCCGTACGTCATTAAAATAGAGCACGATTATATATACGATGGAAGAAAGGATACACACAGTGGAGCAATGCGGAGGTTTCATGTCTTTTGAGTGTTTGGGGCGATGAGTGCAGGTGTAACCCCTACACCCAGGTCCCACTCGACCTGCTCCGAGCGGGCCTCGAACCCAGATCTCCGGCATGAGAGTCGGGCGCTCTAACAAGGAGGCTAAAGACTGCAGCCTCTAGCGTCTGTCGCTAGAACGCCTATTGAGATCAGGGAGTGAGGTTTACTCGCACAGCAACTACTAGCTGGCCTCCGTTACACAGGCAAAAATGCAGGGTTGTTATAGAAATAAATCTGTATTTGAAGACATTTCACATATGAGGCATCGTTTTAAGTGCTCGCTATAGTGCCTCTCCTCTTTTTTCTCCGCCGTATGAGACCAATGTTTTGATGACTTTTCTAAATATTGTGGAAAGAAAATGGGTCACTTTTAAAAGATGATGCAAGCAGGTTGTCAAAAAAAATCGTATATAGTCAGAAAATCTGTCATGATCCTGGCTCTTTCTTTCTTTCTCTGTTCCTTCTCTGCTCCCTTCTGGTCACTATCTTACATTACATTACTTGCATCACATTCATTATCCCGTCACCTCCAGCTGTGGCTCATCCTCTCATTACCTCCCTGTTACCTTCCCAACTGTTTCTCACTATCTCTGATTAGACTCTCTATTTCATGGCTTCTCTCTTATTGTTCTTTGTCAGATTATTGCTCTATGTTACGTACCTGTGCATATCGCTCCTGATCCTGTCGTGTCGTGTCCTGTCTGATTCAAGCTGTTCTGTTCTCTGTATTACCTCGACTCTACTCTGCTACCCTTCCAGCATCGTGAGTGGTTCAGGATTGGCGTTCCCGTGCCTCTACGGACCCAGCCTGTCTCGCCCTCTGAGTGACCGTCCGTGCTGATCCAGACGGCAGTTTTCTGTTCTGTTATTAAGAGACTTTCTGTTCCATTACCATTGAGATTCCTTTGTTGGATTTACTCGCCTTACGGCTCCTGTGTTACTCTTCTGAACATTAAATCACTCATTGACTGTCCTTTGCTTTTGGGTCCTCTTTCTCATACGTGACAAAATCGGATTTGGGCATCAAGACCTGCAGTGTAAATGCAGCCTAATATGCATATGACAATAAACTTGAACTGAACTGCAGAGGTGGGAAATCCAGGGTCCAAATAGTTAAAGTCCTGTCATATGTTTATTCTACCTTTAAACTACCTGTAAATTAGTTCTCTCTCCTGTCTGAATTAGCAAATCCAGGTGATTGGAACAAGATACTAAGGAGGACTTTTACTTTCTGAACCTGGACTTTACACCTCTGCATAGCAATGCCACATGTCAGCCAAGAGTAAAGAAATAAATCAGAACTGGACCTTATCTGAGCCACAAAATCTGTGTATATTAAACATGAAGTAGTTTCAGACAGTCTTAGATTATCTAAGACAGTCTTAGATTAATCCCCTGAAGAGAAAAGAAGACATTAAATCTGAAGATCTCAGCAGAGGAGGATTAAACAACTCCACAAACAGCATTACCAGCTTCACTTATTACTAACCAGACTGACTTTATTTCTGTCAGACTTCTACAGAAGATTTTATTGAGAATTAACAGAGGTTTAACACTGTTTCATTTGAAGTCACCATAACAGTGATTAGTGTTCCAATAGTTCGGGTCTTAACTCTAATTATATATTCAGTCTTTTTTGGCTACTATGATAATATGTGTGTGAAGCATAGTTGCCGCAGCAAATAAAGCTAAAGTGAAATGAGATCAGGTGAAGATGGTTCCCTGTTGATGGTTTTATAATCATAATGAAATAGTCTGATTCATAAGTTTATAAAACTAACAATTAAGTTGTCACATTATTTTTTTCACAACACAAACATATCAATTTATGTTGTCATGGCAACAATAATCAGACACACCTGAATTAATCAATTGGCCAATAATGTCAGACAGGAAACAAGGAGCTGGCTGAAGTTCAGGAAGTAGTGCAGCTGGGCATAAAGCCAATTGTCATATAATTTTGTTTGATTCTAAATATTTGCATTTATTTTTTGCTGTCGTTTTGTTGTGAATTAGTAGCTTTTCAGTGATGTTCTGAATTAATCTGTTTATCTAAATATTAGTGAGTGTCACCATTGTTGAGATTCATACACTTTTTTATATCGGTGTGTGTCAATGCAGGCCATTTTTATTTTTAAATTAATGTTTGTTGAAAGATTTAAACCAATTATTATATTGCTGGATCTAATGCTTCAGTAACACAGGGTTTGTGATTTGAATATATTAGTGGAAAAACATCATTGTTGGATTATAAAAACCTCAGTGAGTCAGGCTATTTCATGATGATTAGATTCCATCAACATGAAACCCATCATCACCCAATTTCACTTCACTTTAGCTTTCTTTGTAACAGCATATGTGTTTAACACAAACAACACACAGGAGCTATTATAGAGAAAATATTTAATTAGAGTTAAGACCCGAACTATTGGAACACTAATTACTGTTATGGTGACTTCAAATGAAACAGTGTTAAACCTCTGTTAATTCTCAATAAAATCTTCTATAGAAGTCTGACAGAAATAAAGTCAGTCTGGTTAGTAATAAGTGAAGCTGGTAATGCTGTTTGTGGAGTTGTTTAATCCTCCTCTGCTGAGATCTGTCTTCTTTTCTCTGTAGTGGATTTTATCTAAGACTGTGTTTGAAATGACTCCATATTTGATCTACACAGATTTTGTGGCTCAGATAAGGTCCAGTTCTGATTTATTTCTTTACTCTTGGCTGGCATGTGGCATTGCTATACAGAGGTGTAAAGTCCAGGTTCAGAAAGTAAAAGTCCTCCTCAGTATTTTGTTCCAACCATCTGGATTTGCTAATTCAGACAGGAGAAGGAACTAACCAGTGAAATCAGCTGACTGAGTTTATAGGTAGAATAAACATATGGCAGGACTTTTACTCTTTGGCCACTGGATTACCCACCTCTGTTGAACTGAACTGAACTGAACTGAACATTCATGATATTTGTGTTTCTGTTCATTAATCACTATTCATCTAAACTTTCAGACACTGGCAGCATTGACACCAACTCACCTGGTAATGTTAACATTAACATTAATAACATTAATATTTTCCTCAAAAGGCAAAGCAAGTTTATTTATATAGCACATTTCATACACAATGGTAATTCAAAGTGCTTTACATATAAGAAATTAAAATAATCAAAATAAATCAGAATAATTAAAACAGTTTAGAATAAAAAATTATAAAATACAGTAAATAATTAAAACAATGTAGAATCAAAAATAAAATAAAGTACAGTAACAGTCGGACGAACAGTGGCACAGTGCTCATTCACTAAATGCACAGCTAAACAGATGTGTTTTGAGTCTGGATTTGAATGTGACTACTGTAGGAGCACACCTGATCTCCTCTGGAAGCTGGTTCCAGCATAATAGCTAAAAGTAGACTCTCCATGCTTACAGTGAACCCTTGGTATTTCTAGCTGATCTGATCCTAATGATCTGAGTGATCTGTTGGGTTTATATTTAGTGACCCACATAACATTACTTCGGCCCAGATCTGGCCCACATCTGGCACTTGTGGGATGCGGATCTGGCCCACATGCAGCAATGAATGACGGCCCTTGGGTGGCCCACTGTTTGCCAGATCTGGGCCACAAGCAGGCCATAGCAATGCCACATGTCAGCCAAGAGCAAAGAAATAAACCAGAACTGGACTTTATCTGAGCCACAAAATCTGTGTATATTATATGCCGCATGTTCCTTCATTTAACTGACAGTAACTGTGTAGTTGCTGATGCAGTTTAAATTAGGCTAATTAACATTCATTTTATGGTTTTTGTATGGCAGCCATTGCTGACAGTCATTGACTGTTTTTTTATGGAATTGTTTTTACAGTTAGGATGTTTGATCGTATTAATCCAGATGATAGCTGTAAAATAACAGTGTTTTTCTGTAAAACATTTAAGAAAAAATATCTGTAAAAGGTTTTTGCACTTAATTTAAATTAGGATATTTTACTTTATTTTTATGGTTTTTGTTTGGTACACAGTAAATTCCCCGGTGTTAAATTAACACCGCTCAGTGTTCATATTGGAATCACCAGAAAGGTGTTAAAAGTAACACTGAGGCAGTGTTAAAGTTAATGAGATAATTAAGTGATTAATTTAGTGATGATTGAGCATTATTGAAGACACCTAAAGCAGAATCACTGAAGGACAAAATCTAACTTTCAGGTCATTGTTATGGAGGTGAGTGTTTGCTTTAGTTGGGCTCTTGATCCTTTCATTATTAACTTTATATTTTAATTGGCTGTTGCATCTGAGTTATAACTGCCAGATTAACAAAGAAACAATTTATATGATGGTGTCGGTCATATTATGACATTCATCATTTAAAATATATGTTTGTGGTTAATTTTGTAGGTTGCAGCATAACTGAAATTCTACATAAATATCCAGAATGTCAGATATAATATAATTGATTTCTACAAGTTGTAAGAAAAAAAAAAAACCTCTTATAGGCACACACAAACCTCAAGATTCAGTCAATGCTTCTCAACAACGGTGACGAGTAGAATATTCAAGTAGGAAAAGTAAATTACATAGACGTTTCAGATCATAATTTATTCATACCGCAATGCATGATGGGAGTCATTAATGAGTTGTGATTGGTGGCAACAAGGATTATTAATGTCACCATGGTTGAGATAGACAGGCTGATTATTGATGTCTGTGTTTCTAAATAGATATTAAAGTGATTTGATCAGAATAGTTTTTATTAAATATTTTAGGTCATAAGAAAATTACAGATATGCCGCACAATCACTAAACTGTTACTAACAAGTTAAGCAAATTCATCTGAAAAGTTTCTTTTTTCAGATCATAACATGATTATGTCAAAACATAACCAACACTATCAGACCACAGTTTTCTTTGTTCATTTTACTATTATAAATCAATAACAGCAGACAAACAAAATTTACAGTGATAATGTAAGTGTCAAGAGCCCAACTAAAGCAAACACTGATCTCCAT